ATACATATATATATATATATATATATATATATATATATATATATATATATATATATATAAACTCATATTTGATAAATTTTCTTATAAAAAAAAATAAATATTTGATAAATTTACTGTATGAAATTGCTACACATGACTATAGTATATTACAAGTTCTATAGTTATATATAGTTAGTTATATGTAATCATGTACTATCTTTTTACACCAAAGTTATGGTCGGTCGATTATGTAGACCGCTTATTATATATAAAAAAATTCATCTATACCAAAAACAAAATTCACAATTTGAATCTTGGTATTATAACTAAATTAGTACCCAACAAAAAAATTGGAAAAACACAATCATCAACATCACTATACATCAGAAAAACCACATAGCTTATATATAACTATATATTACTACACGTGACTATATATGACTACATGTATATAACCACATGTAACTATATGAGGATAGTCATATATAGCGTAGTTTGTAGTTTATAGTTTCAAATCCCACTTTTCAAGACGATAACCATATGAGGATAGTCATATATAGCGTAGTTTATAGTTTGTTGCAAAAGAACTGTATGTTTTGAATTGACGAAGACCATGTCCTCTCGGCAAAAACTTAGTGCATAGAAATTGTTCAAACACCAAGACCTGTGACAAAAAGAAAATCAGTTTAAATATTAACATTATACATCAACTCATAACCAACAATTACATATCGAAATACACAATCACATGCATATATTACTACATGTTACTATATGTAACTATATATTACTACATATGACTATATAAGTCTATAATTATCTATAGTTAAATCTTCATCCATATTCCAAATATACAGAACCATTAACAAAAAAATAATTAGCTTTGAGAAACGCTTCAAATGAATCCAGAAGATCAAGATACATATTACTCCTACCTTAAAGTGCAAAACATCAACCAATTAAACGACCTCAGATCGGCGACCACAAAATTATCAAGTTACGAGTTCTGATCTTGCGGCAGCGGTGAATGGGGCAATCGTGATTGCGCAGTGGATTGTTGCATTAGTGCACCAGGAATCGTGTAGAGGAAGTAGCCTTGCGAGAGATCTAGAGTGTTTTGTCGCGGTCTATGGTTCGGATCGGAGGAAAGGATGCTGCCATGTCAAATAAGCGAAGGCGTCGCCGGATCACATCGCCGGAGGACCGGTGGCTGAAGATGGGGACGGGGGCGAAACAGAACATTTTGACTAGCGAAAATCCAAAGCGGCGCAGCAGCGACGGAGAAATGTCATAACGAGATTTAGGGTTTGTATGGCTTCCCCTTCCTTAACTATGGCCTCAGATCTCGCGATGGCAACTTCGAGGCGGATCGGACAGTGAAGAGAGGCTGAATGTCAAAGAGAGCTATAGAAAGGGAAAAGAATGAACCTGGGAAGAAAAAGATAAGAAGAAGAGAGCATTTGGAAAGAAAAATAGTGAGAGGGAAATAGTAGAGTGGGGTGGTTTTGAATTGGCATGACGTGAGTGGCTAGAGTTGGTACTTATATTACAGTGACAGAGTATAATTGGTACTTTAAGTTGCCCAGGGGATCAATTAAACTAAAACTAGAATTTGGTTTTGGACTAGGGCAGAAAAATCTATGACCTCCTCATATATATTTTCAGAAATAGAGGGGTGTCATACAAAATAGATTCGGTTTTTCTTGGCTAGGTGTGAAAATTAGACGGCTCAATTAAAATTAGTATTGTGGGAGAACAAAATCAATTTTGTTAAAGTAAAATTTAATAAGAAAGAAAATGGTCCGTTAGAACTAAGCTCATCATCCTATACTTATTCATAAAGGGGTCCAGACAAAAAAATGTTTTTACAAAAAAGTCTACATAAAGGACTAAAATACCCCTCACATTTTAATATGCTCCAATTTCATCCTTCAATTTAATTTAACCTCAATTTTACCCCGAATTTCACAAATTATTCAATTTTGAGCCAAAACTCAATTTTGAGTAGAATTTCGTCCGTCGCCGCCGTTGACGGCCGATCTCCGGCGTTGAATTTTTTTTTTAATTATTTTTTACTTTAACATCTTTTTGCACCTTTTAAACATCAATATTGTTTTGGTTGACAGTCATATTAAGTATACTATTGTTTAACACATTAATATTAACTATACTACAGTTTAACACAGTAATATTGTTATATTACTCTCTATCACAATAATATTAACACAACAAAAGTCACTATTATTGTGTGATAGAGTAATATTAATATGTTGACCG